TTAGCCAGGATGGTCTCGATCTCCTGACCTTGTGATCCGCCCGTCTCGGCCTCCCAAAGTGCTGGGATTACAGGCTTGAGCCACCGCACCCGGCCAACAAAGTGGTATTTGAATTCAGAAATGAGGCAAACGCTGCTGGATGAATGAAACCAGAATGAAATGATTTCATCTATCACCTGAGCAGGACATCTCATTATCACTGACTTTATACAGCCGCTGCTCAGCGTGGGCTAAACTACATAAACGGACATCCGTTTATGTCTGAATGACTAACATGCCTGCCAGCCTCCTGTCCAAGAGCATCTACAGTGCAGCCTGGCTACCCCGGGAGGGACGCGGGCCTGAGTACCGTCTTGGCCGCACCGCGGCGCAGGTCCAGCTTGAGCTGCTGGTTCTGCTGGAGCAGGGTCTTCATGTTGTTCTTCAGCTCCGACACTTTTGCCTGGAGCATGAATTTATCCTTCTGGGTCGTGGACAGATCTTCCTGGGCCATCTCCAACTCAGACTTGACATTCTGTGGAAAATGAAGTCAGATTTTTTAAGTTAACAGATCTTAAACATCCTGCCAAGATCCGAGTTTGTATTTTCATAGGTTAAGCACATGTGTGTCCTCCTCGGCGCCATCTCGATGGTCCCAGTCCAGGTCCAAAACGCTCAGGACCGGAAGTGTGTCAACTTTTGGAATTTTGAATATTTGCATCACACCTGCCAGCTGAGTATCCGTAACCCAGACATTTGAAATGTTCCAATGAGCATCTCCTTTGTCATGCTGACGCTCGCAAAGTTTCGAATTGTGGGTTTTTGTTTTGTTTTGTGTTTTCGAGACAGAGTCTGTCTCTGACATTCAGGCTGGAGTGCAGCGGCCCAACCACAGCTCACTGCCCAAAGCGCGGGGCCTACGGGCATGAGCCCCTGTGCCTGGCCAGATTTTGGGTTTTTGGCTGACGGATGCTCCTCTGCCTGTATCTATAAATAAATTCTCACTGTGACTCAAGCCCCTCATGTACGAGGGGGACTCGGCAATTATACTCCTTTCCCGAGCAGTCAAGACCGAACCCTGAGCTCTTTGTCGAGAAGTTTATTGCAGATTGGCAAATTTTTCCCATGCACCCTCCCATTTGCTGGACTCCATGAAATCACGTTCTTGGTCCATGTCACACAGCGCGGCCAAGGGATCAGAGCCGGCCCAGGCTTCAGCCCTGCCTCCGTCCTGCCGTGTGACGTGGACCAGGTGACTTTGCGAGCGCCGCACTGGACGAGGGTGCCAGCTCCCCGGGAGCACTGCCTGGCCACAGGCC